CCCAAGCTGACCAGCCCAGTTACCACGCAGGTCCAGATTCAGGACAATGAGTTGGCTCACCCAAGATTCATATCATCCGTGAATGGTTGGAAAGCATAAAAGGGCTAGTCCTAGTGGCAGGGGTACAGGTGAGCCAGACCCAAGCCTTAATGAAAAAGAGGCAGAGGGACTTTAGTCCACAGCCCTCTGGGAAATATTCACTGAAGCCAGGTTTCTCCACTCGGCATAGAGGTTACCTTAAGAGAGAGCAAAGCCAAATGTTCTATTGACACTTGGAGTGACCTTTTAAATAATCAGGTCTCGCCCCCTGCTGGATTTAGTTAAGTTCTCTATGGATCTGAACAAAGCAGTAATAGAGTATATTGCTGTGTATATAATTATTTGGCTTAGATTAACAGAGTATATAATTATAATAACATTAAGCCCTGCTTGCAGAACAAGGAATATTCTTTGCAGATTATGTTCGATGTTTGGAAAATGCTGCATTTGCTTTTTGTGAGAGCACTGAGAGACAGAGGCTGATAACATGATCATTTTGGCAAGTTGCTAAGGAAGAAATTCCTGAGCACACCTTGAGGTCCCTGAAGCACACTCTCTCAGGGTTTGGCCTAGAAATATGTGGTTCTGAAAATTCTGCAGGTGGTTCCTAGGTTCAGCCAGTTTGAGAGACCTCCACACTGAAAAAGCAGGCTGGGGTATAAATCAACTAGCTTTCTGCCCTGAGAAAAACAAATTCAGAAAGAAAATTGCCTCCCACTCTTCCAAACTGGTCCCATTCTTTGGTCTCTTCTGTGGCCTCCTCCCTCCACTTGTCCCATCTCTCCTCATTTTTACAGTTATAATTCCAGTCTCTCACAAACAGAACTGCTGTCTTCTCTCAATGCCTCCTCCCTCTGTCTTCTTGGTCACACGTTATTTATTGTTTTTATTAGCTTAAGAAAGGCAGGCACCCTTCAGGACAGACTTTATTGGCATAACCCTAAGTGCCCTTCTATTCATTTTCAGATGAACTTTATGTGGCAAGCTAAGGACAGCCAGAGACATGCCTGTCCAGTGTTTGGCTCTCTGAAAGCACACTGCATGACCTTGAGCTCTGTGTGCCCCCAATATGTGTCTACTGTCTGTCCAGCCTTAAGAGGGGTAACTTTCCTTTTTCTTCCAGCTTCTCATGGTAGCTGGCAAAGGTTGTGGCAGAACAGCTTGATCTCTGCCAGAGTCTCCACAAGTCCTCTCTGTGTCTGTGTCTCAGTATCCAAATGTTATCTTCCTTTTCTTGTCTAAAGAAGAAATCACTTAGCATACTCACTAATGCATCATTACCTCATCTTAATTTGCCTGTATCTACAAAGATTTTATTTCACATATTGAGTAGAAGCTGTAAGTATGTTGAGGACACAAACCAGCTCACTACAATGCACAAAGAAAATAATTCACATTTCATGGCTGAGTGAATCAGTAACTTGTAGCCAAAGAAAAAATGTGCTTGTCTAACTCCAGCTAATCTCCCACACTAGACATGTTCATGTATAAAATCAGACTGACTTTAATTGGCCTCAATATTTAATGACTGCAGCAAGGCTACATAGGATATGGAAATTGTAGTTTTGAAAAGGAGTATACTATAAAGAAATGGATATAATCAAAAGCAGCAAAGGAGAAGTTTAGAATGGTGGTCTTTTAATGAGAAAGTCACAATTTTTTGTTCATATTTTAGAGCTAAAATGCAAGTAAATCTGTAGAAAAATACCTGGAAAAAATAATAAGAATGTTGATCTGAATATAAAATTGTTCTAAGGCAACCTAAGCTGAGAACTGAGGATCTTGAGTTACCAGAATACAGAATCCTTGCACTATCTCTTTTGGTGAGTGACAAATGTACTTAAGGCAGAAATTTGGTTTCCTCAGAGTTTAGAGTACCCAACACAAGACAGTAGAGTGAAACTTCCTTCAGGGTTGTACATGAGTGCCATTAAATACTGACTAATATGCCACTGCTTATTGTGTACAGATGTCCAATGGTGGAGTTTGCAAAATCAAGTGCCAGGACTAAATGGACAGATGGACAGAATGCAATCTCTGCTAAGCAGGCTCATTGGCAATTGCACAGTATATGCATAAAACTATGAACTTCACCCATTTCCCTTAATGCCTTACTTTTCCTGACTTCTTTCAGTCCAACCATAAATTCATTAATTCTGTTAAAAGAGAAATGTATTCATTATAAATTACAGTATTTTAGGAAGATATAAAGGAAGAAACAAACATCTGTCAAGTTCTTCTACGCAGGAGCCGTGTGGGCTCACTAATCGTATTCATTCACTTCTTCCAAGCCTTTAAAAAATATTTTTTTTTACTATGTATGAACATAGCCAGTTTACTTCTGGTTTGATGCTCGTATAGTTTTTTAACATAAATATTTTCCATGACATGGAGACTCTTCAGTTACATTTAGTGACTGTATGATAACAAATAGTTTACGTAATGTTCATCTGATGCACATTTGGTTTGTCTTTTTTTCATCATTGCCAATCAGGTGGCCATCAGTATCTGTATTTGATTTTTACTTCTTTCTGTCAGCAAGTTGAGAAGCATCTGTCTTTTAACACCCCTCTAGTTCTTGTTCTGTAGGAATGTGTACTGTTACCAGCATTCATTCTTTTCACTTGGCTTTCTCCCCTTCAATTTCTCTCTCTCTCTCTCTCTCTCTCTCTCTCTCTCTCTCTCTCTC